AAGGTCGGTCTCACTGTTGCCTTGGCTAGAATGCAGTGGTGTCATCATAGATCACTGTAGCCTTAAACTCCAGGGCTCAAGGGATATTCCTGCCTCAGCCTCCCAAGTAGCTGGGACTAACTACACTCAGCTAATTCTACTATTTTTTGTAGAGACAGAGTCTTGCTCTCACTCAGGCATCTCTTGACTTCTGGCCTCAACCAATCCTTCTACCTCAGACTCCTAAAGTGTTACATTTCAAGCATTAGCCACTGGTCCCAGTCCTCTTCTGTTTCATTTATAACATTTAGCATGGTCTAATTCTACATATATCACCTCTCGATTTTGTTGATAATTTCTTCCATTAGAGACCCCTTTTGTCACCATTCTAAGAAAACAAGTAGTTGTCCCCACTCCCAAATAGGAACAGTATATAAAATTCATGACAGCATAATTGATAATCATAAAAACCAGAACCTAGAAGTCCAGAGAATAGCTAAACAAACTGGAATATGATACTATAAAATGCTAAACAGTCACTAAACACATAAAAAATTTAGTGAAAGTATTTATAAACAAAGTAAAGAAATATGATAGCAAAATCGGTATCATGTACTAATATGAACTATACAAAGTAAAGAAATATGATAGCAAAATCGGTATCATGTACTAATATGAACTATAGCTCAAATAAAAGTTACATAAATGCAGGTATCAATAAAAAAAACCATTAGATTCTTTAATGACTACTTTCTCAATTATTCTCACAATTTTCAAATATTCTATCAGGTCCGCAAATTTTTTTTCTTTTTCTTTTTTTTTTTTGCAGTTTTTGGCCAGGGCTGGGTTTGAACCTGCCACCTCCAGTATATGGGGTCAGTTCCCTACTCCTTGAGCCACAGGAACCGCCCTTTTTTTTCTTTTTTGAGATAGAGTCTCATTATGTCACAGCTCAATAGAGTGCTATGGTGTCAAAGCTCAGAGCAACCTCAAACTCTTGGGCTTTAGTGATTCTCTTACCTCAGCTTCCCAAGTAGCTGGGACTACAGGCACGTGCCACAATGCCCAGCTTTTTGTTGTTGTTGTTGTTGTAGCTGTCATTGTTGTTTAGCAGGCCCAGTTGGGTTCAAACCCACCTGCCTCAGTGTATGTGGCTAGTGCCCTAACCACTAACCTGAGCCAAGTCTGCAATATTTTGAGAATAAAAGCAGCTGTTTCAGTGGGATAATCTACATGATAGTCAGGATCTCTTAAGCTCAGGAGTTCAAGACCAGACTGAGCAAGATCGAGACCTCATCTCTACTAAAAATAGAAAGATTAGCTGGGCAATATGGCAGGCACTTGTAGTTGTAGCTACTTGGGAGGCTGAGGCAGGAGCCAAGAGTTTCGGGTTGCTGTGAACTAGGCTGATGCCATTGCACTCTATCCTAGGCAACAGAGTTAGACTCTGTCTCAGGAAAAAAATAAATAAATAAAATAAAAAATTAAAAAGGCTGGGCACCTGTAACTCAGTGGTTAGGGTGCCAGCCACATGCACTGGGGCTGGTGGGTTCAAACCCAGCCCAGGCCTGCTAAAAAACAAATAAACAAAAATAACCAGATGTTGTGGCAGATGCCTGTAGTCCCAACTACTAGGGAGGCTGAGGCAAGAGAATCGCTTAAGTCCAAGAGTTTGAGGTTGCTATGAGCTATGACGCCACACACTCTACTGAGGGTGACAAAGTGAGACTCTGTCTCAGTAAATGATGAATAAAAATGAATAAAAAAATTTAAAAAGTTAAAAGTAAGCAATAGAGCTGGCTCAGCACCCATAGCACAATGGTTACAGTGCCAGCCACATACACCAAGGCTGGCAGGTTTGAACCCAGCCAGGGCCAACTGCAACAAAAAAATAGCTGGGCGTTGTGGTGGGCATCTGTAGTCCCAGCTACTGGGAAGCTAAAGCAAAAGAATCACTTAAGCTCAGGGTTTGAGGTTACTGTGAGCTATGATGCCATGGCACTCTATCCAGGGTGACGTAGTGAGACTCCATCTCGAAAAAAAAAAATAAATAAAAGCAAAAGAGCTAAAAGTTCTTTAGTATACATCAAAGTAGCATTTTTTCCTTCTATTTATGTTTAAGATAAAAATCTTTGTGGTATAATTTACATACCAAAAATACCCCTGTTGTCTACTCGGAGGTGACCTTTACTGAAGGACTGAGTGAGACCAGCTGTCATCTACAGGATGCTGGGGCAAGAGCTCACCTCTTGCAGTCCTCACAGATTCCATCCTGCCTGACAGCAAGAACATCCCTTACCCCTCTCACAAAGGCCATATACACTTGCGCCCTCTACAGGGCTTCATGTGACCAAGGCACTGGTGCTAGACCACTAAGAGCTAGGACTCATCCTGGACTCATGAGCCTGTGGGCAATGCACCACAGCAACAGAAGCTGAAGGTGGACTTTAGAGTCAAGTTGCATTACCTACAGCCTGCTCTACAGTCTTGAGTGGTCTTTTAAACCTCACTAAGCCTATTTCTTCACTGCACTTGAAAGGAAAATATCTTTGCAGGATGAAGATAAAAATTAAAAGAGAAATCCCACACGAAGCCTCAATGTGGGAATTTACTTTATTCTAGCCACGATTATTCTAGTTGTCACCTTAGACACCTGCCATCCAGGACTATCTCCTGGCTGGCACATTCTCACCCACTCTGGCTCTAAAAGGCAGAATGACCAAAAATGGGCAGTTGGGGCTAAAGCATATTTATACAAAGGCTCCAAAGGACCCTTTTGCTGTAGTTCAACATCCAGCCTCTCTCTCTGCAGGGGCAGGGTCATGCATTCCTCATTGTTTCTGAACAGGGCCCAGAGGAGCAAAGGCTTACATACTATCATTGCACCATTCAACCCTCCCTGAGTTACAGCAGAGTTGCCAGCTCAGCCTGAAATACTACTACAAAGGTGTCAAGACCCATTCCTGCCAGGTTGCTTTATCTTCTACATCCGAGAACAGTCCAAGGTAGCTTCAGCTCCCCTAAATCAGGTCACAGAACAGCAGGAGACATTCCTTTGGCGAAAAAGGACACATTCTTGTCCTGTATCTTATACTGGTAAATGAGGCTCCGATCCCGCTGGGCTGTGGGCTGTGATGGCCTCCTCCACAGGATCTTCAGCTAGAGAGATAGAGAGGAATGAAAGAGGAGCAGCTGCCTGAGCACACGCTCCATCATGAGCCCCACCCCCGCCTTCTCTGTGACCTTCAACTGAGGGCTCTATGAGAGCGCAGTCAGACATGCCATCCAGTAATGGGACCAACTTGAAAAATTAAGCTAATTACCAGCTAACTAAAAATAAAAGTTTCCTACTACGTTACAATAGCCTTATTTGCTCATTACAGAAAATGTGAGAGAGAAAGAAAAGTCCTGCAGAGGAAACCATTATAGTGTTTTATGTATTTCCTTTTGGTTTCTTTTCTATGCATGGTTTTATACTTGATGGTTAGACCAATTTTGAAAATCACATTAAGATTTGCACATTCGGCTTGGCGCCTGCGGCTCAAGCGGCTAAGGCGCCAGCCACATACACCTAAGGTGGCGGGTTCGAATCCCCAGCCCGGG